ATAAAAGTGAGTTCTGGTTTGAACCGGTATGATGGAGACAGCTTAAAAGGCCAACCGAAACATTTGACTTTGAGCTGTGACGGTTCTCGAGCATCTTCTTACTCAGTCGTATTCAACTATCTTTAAAAAAGGCTTTTAAAAGCCCAATATTAATAATAGAAGGGCCCATAGCTTATTGTACATTCCTCCAAAACTGATGATTTTTGTAATCACAAACGTCCAAAAAAAAAAAGAAAACAAAAAAAATAGACGGCGGAGATTTAATTAAGCTCTAGAAGGCACGTGATAGTATCGTCCTCTGCACGTGCATCTGTAGATGACGCTACATGACTCGGCGACGGAGCATTGGAAACTAATCATCACACGTTTACATGGCGAGCACGGACCACACGCGTATGAACAATCCGGTAAACTCGATCCTGTCGGATACATTTCCATTTCTACTCCTCCTTTTTTGGTTATTTCCTTTTTTACCTTGAAAAATAAATACACAATAAATTTTAAGGCTAGGCATAAAATTCGATATTTGACAATCAATCTGAAACCAATAAAAATAATCGGGTTCTATATTCGAACCAAATAGTCATCAAACCTGAACAGATGATAAATTATCTTATACGAATTACTTAAATAGTTAAATCGAACTTGATCAGTGTAAGAAAATAATAGTAATAATGATAATAATAATAATAATAAAAAAAGGAAACTTGATTTGAACCGAAAACCCAAAAAAACTTATATAAAAAAAAACTTTACTATATATAGTTATAATTTTATACCTAAGAAAAAGAAAAATGTCCGAAATTGCCTAAATCCAAAAAAATTAAGCTACATTTGTTAAAAATTTAACCAAATATATTTACAAATGAAACCATTTTCCATTACAATTGAACAAATCCTTTGTTTTATTTTTCCTAAATCCGATCCAAATTTGACATCTATTCAAACCGAATTAAAAAAAAAAACCAAATATATAGTAAAATCTCCAATCCGAAATATCCAAATTTAAAAAATTTGAAGCGAATCCGATCCGAAATCAAAAATTTATAAATCCTTTATTTTTGTCACCATAAAAAAAACACAACAAATCCATAATTAATTAAGAGGAGGAAAAGAAAAACACGGTTTCCTGCTATTAATCATCTGAAAAATCAAAGGCGGTTGCTATATTTAGAAAAAAGTGTGTAATATTAAATTTGATCTTTAAGGATACATATATATCTTTTTTTTCTATGTAAAGTGCACCTAACCTACCTTGTGGTGGTGGTGAATTTGAGCTTGTTCTACATCGGCGTTTTTCTTATCTGCGTCATTGACCGTAGCTTCTACGCAATACCAAAAATGTAAAGTTCATTAATATATACAAAAAAGCAAGTAAATATAATAACAAGAAAGAAAAAAAAGTAAAAAGAGATGGATGTGACGGACTTAGTGGCGGCGTGCGAATGGAGTTAACGACCAAAGAACACGCGGCGAAGACTATGACGATGCGGAGAAACTTCTTCGCCATCTTTTATATATATTATTATTACTTTTTTTTTTTTTGTAGTAACAAAGCTAAAACGTTCTGGTTGAGACAGAGGGTTTTCAAAAAGAGAAGTTTCTAGAAGAAGATGAGCTATATATGGAGAGAAGACTACGTGTGTGTGAAGAAGTATGATAACAAAAAATGGTGGAGCAAGTGTTTATATATATATAAGATGATGATGAGAAGAATTGGTATTATTGTGTGTGTGTTATGAGATAATAAATGATGAAGGAAAAGATCAGGTACACCTGTTTTGAAAGTGTCACATGATTCTCGTCAAAAATATCATTCGTTTAGTAATTATCAGTGAACATGGTTCGCGCCTTGTGAATATTTTTGAATATTGTGGAACTGTTCATATGTACACGTACGTATCAAACAAAGCTTGACGTTGAGATATATATATGGTAGGGCATTGACCCAAAAATTACCATCAATTACGTTTTTATGTTTCGGAAATGTATTTAGCTTTTCGGATATAGCAAAAATATCAGTGAAACTTTTCGAAAATGTGTTTAATTTTTGGATATAACAACAATGTATATACATTTTTAATAAATTCATAGTTTGTGTACTAATTAAGCCATGGATAGGCAATAGAAATTTCCATGAGCAAAGTCAATTAGTCACAAGCACTACAAGAAATATGGACATTTATAGCAGACAAACATAGCGTAGTTTTTATAAATGGGTATAATAAATAAAATTATGGAAATATGACTAATATAATAACGTATTAAAAATACTAAAAATGAATTTTTGTAAGTGAAATCCTAAAATCACTCACTTAGAAACTCAAAAGGCTGAAAACCTAAATTTAACTTTTCGAACCCAAAATAACAAAATAGCGGCACACTTAGCCAAAAGTTATGACCAATGTACCATAATTATGCACAAAGTGCTACTCCTAAAAAGACTTAAGACCATCCTTATCGGGGGTATCTTAGCCTCCTAAGATGGTCCTTATCTATACGTATACAACTTCTCTCTCTATACGTATAAAACTTTTCTCTCTATACGTATAAAACTTCTCTCTATACGTATAAAAATCTCCTCATTAAAGATGGTCCTTATTGGGGGAGATTTTAGATAATATCTTATATTAATTTGTAATTAAATTAAATGTAAAAAGTAGTTTAATGAGTAAAAAAGTATGTTATATAAGATACAAAATTAATTCTAAGATACTCTAACCTCTTAAATTTTTAATTTTAATACTATAATATTTCTAAGATACAAAATTAAAAACCCCCAATAATGATGGCCTTTAAAGGAGGCCATAAGTGTTCACATAAGTGAAAACAATTGTCTTGGTACGTAACTCATATATATGGTCTCTTGTTTAGTCAGTGAATAATGAAGATCTCATAATCATATTGTAAGCCATGGATGATGAGCAAGCATTAAGTGTAGGTGTTAGTGGTATGCGTACTTGTATAAAGACTAGAGAGAGAAGTTTTATACGTATAGATAAGGTATAAAAATTATTATACGGCGTGTAGGACCAAAAGAGGAGTTACGAAGGGAATAGTTAATAATTGTAGTCATAAGGTTCACAATGGTAATGGGAGAGAGAGAGAGGGCAGAGAAGAGAACTATACAGAAGCAGCCAAAAGTGGTTCAGACATCTTGAAAGTAACCTGTCTATGCAAACGTGAACCTTGCCCTTGGTTTTAATGACCTTTCTCTGGTTCTCCCAAAGCACCAACGAATGAGCATGTTAACATAATTTTCAATTAGTTTTTGGTACATATACTTTCGAACCATGATATTTTGTTGAATTCAATTAGGTCCAAGAAATTCGTTGATTAATGGCGTTATTTGGTCTATAAAGCATTTTAATGTGTTTCCAAAGTCAAGTCCTCACAAAATTAATTATTTTAGGAATTCTCAGGTTACTTTGTTGATAGTTAGGAAGCTTTTATTTATCATCTTCAAAGAGTTTATGTTACTTACATTTTTTAAAACACACTAAATTTTATAAAAACGTCGAAAACTACACTCAATATTATAATTATTTGAAAATATATATTTCAATATGAAAATAGACAAAAATATCATTTATCATTTATCATTTATGGAGGTGTCAAGCGGGACTTGTCAATGAAAAAATGGTATGAAAACTAAATATTTTCCACGTTAAATAGCGGGTTTCACAGACCAGCTCAGGTAGACTTGGGTTTCCCCCGGATTGGCGGGTTCGAGGGCGGACTTCAAATATTTAATAAAAATTCAGTTTTAATAGATAGAAATAAGTATATTTACACAGTTATATATATTCAATATTTGAAAAATGTGAGAAGATAAATAAATTTAATGTTTTAAAATAAAATCTAAAAATCTATATACTCATTAATTTAAATGGTTAATGTTAACTTTTATAAAATTATATTATTTCGATCCACTCACGGACCTGCTAATCAGTAGGGCTTAGCAGGGTGGGATTGGAGATAATTATTTTGATCTCGAATTAATCTAGCATACTCTAGCCCATTAAATAAAAAAGATATTTGATGCGGACGGCCCAGTTAGACGCGGACCGGTCCGTTTGAAACTTCTAAAACAATAAACATTTAATTTAAAATAATTAAAATTGTAATATATATCTAAGAAAGTGTATTTATTGTATTTTAAGTTATTATCTAAAATTTAAATAAATAAAATTACTTAAACTATTTAGATTTAATTTTATTCAAAAATAAGTATTTCAAAGTTATACTATTTATCATCAAATTTATACTATTTAATTTCAAAGTTATAATATATATACAGTATATATAGTATATATATGAAAAGCTATTTATCTATACTATTAAAAGGGGATCACAAGCTATAGTCAAACATACCAAAAAAAAGTGATATTAAAGATGTTGCAAAACAGACTAAAAGACAGCAAAATATATAACAAAACAATAAAAAGTAAAAAACAAAGACAATCTATACTAGGTAGCAATCCATGCTACATCACGAACAATTCGGTTTAGTCATATTTAGTATTTATGGTTTGTCTTACTTCTGATTTTGTTTTTTGAGATTACACGGTCCAACGAACACTAGCAATATCCAACGAAGACTAATATGGTCCACCTAACTCGGTCGGTTGGGTATACAGTCTCTGGCAGTTATGTAGCATATATTGTATGGTCTGTGGTTTAAAATTAACATAATTTGAAGCAACTGTTTTGCCACATGGGTCAAAATTTTGAACCTTAAAAAGTATTTTTTTGCTACTGGGAATAAAATATCATTTCAGTCTTGGTTGTGGCTTTGATTTGGTAACGATGGTTCATGTTCCTCTGTCTCAACATAGGAGTGATGAGTTTGAAGTCTGAGATGTTAAACCAGTAAGCATCTTCTATTTTAAGTACGATATCAGAGTTATTCAAATGAGAAGCTATATTTATCTCAATTCTATCCCCTTATAAAAATAGTTCCTCTTAATACTTCAACCTAAATCGAATAATAAACTAAAAATGACTCGGGTTTATGTTTATAAGATCAAAAGGTACATTTTGATCCGCTAGAACCATTACCCTCTTCATCATTTCATCACAAGTTATCCAAGTACTCAAAACCTTGACCCTTAACATCCAATCGCTCCTTCGTGGGGTTAGTTCGGAGATTTAATCAATTTTCATGGTTAGGGCAATTATTTTTTTAAAAATAGAGAAAGAGTTTGAAGAGTAGCGAGGTTAAAGATCTTTGGTTTTCTCAAAGTTATGTTAATGGAATTAGATAAAAGAAGATCTTTTATTTATTTTGTCTTTTACGTTAATGGAATTAAGTAAACGAATTAAATGATTTTTGATAATTGCACAAATTTCGTTAAACGATACAATTGATAGCTACTTATATATCTTTCATGCAGACCCATTAATATGGTAAAGCCCATCATCTCTATAAATCCAAAAATGCTTTATGTCATGCACAATGAAATCATTTGCTAATACAATGTATTTTCAGTCTCAATATACCTTTTCCAAATATATTTGTTAGAAAAGAGTACATGAGATTAAAAATATTGACTTGTGAATTTTTATTAGTTTTGATTTTCTGTTCAATGAATTATGTTTTTTTGTTGTTGGCCTCCACGTCCACATCTGCGTCCACCTCTATTGTTTTTGTTGTTATAGCGGGACTGATTCTCAGAAGACGTGTAGAGTATGTCAGAAGTGGAGTTGTGGTGAGGGCTGGTTGTTGTAGGTCGGACAAGCTTCTTGAGACGATCCTCTTCCATGATGAGGATTGATCTGGCACTACAAAAAAATGAGTGGATTGAATCATTTATTTTGTAACTTTACATTACTTATAAGTGATACAATGAAATTTTACATCACTTATAAAAGTGATACTTATATTGCCGATGCAAATAATTCACATCAGTTTTTAATCAACTGATGCAAAACAAAAAAATTGTATCAGTTCTTATAACTGATATTAATAATGAGTCAATTTTCAAAAATGATACTATATTTCCTATCAGTTTGTAAAAGTGATGTTATTATTTGTGTCGATTATCATAATCGATGTCAATTATATATATATATATATATATCAATTTCAAACAAACTAATATAATTAATTTTAAAAATATAATTATTAATTACGAAATAATATACTTAATTACGAAATAATTATTATTAAATTAAAATATTAATTATTTTAATACATTTACTAATTATTTTTTTGTTTGTTATTTTTCCTAATATATAGCAAAATTATGGTGGATATTTTCTCTCAAAATCTTGTTGGAATATATCTACTAAAAATCTAATCAAATATATCACATGAATAATCAAATCTTTATTAAAAAAAAATATTACAATTGGGTTTTGGTTTCTCACGTCTAAACACATGAATAATCAATCTTCCTTTACTCCATGCTTCTTCCTTTGTTAATTGTTCTTTCTTCTGAGAAATTTCAGTTCTTCCTCTAAAAAAACTTCAAATCTTCTTCCTCAAAAAAAAACTCTTGCTTTGAAGTATCTTTGTCCTTCTTCACTGCAAGAATTTCTTAAGTATGAAAACCAATAAACACACAATGAGAAAAAGAAGAAAAAGAAATGGTTTAGAAGATAAACTTATCGATATGATTTTTTAGAAATGTAAACCTATATATAAATTGATTCACCTGGATTTGTATG